ACCCTCGAGGATGCCCGAAAGCAGTGGCCTGCACACTGCAGGGCACACCCCGTGCTGCTGGAGGGGCCTCTGCTTCACAGAGAACGTCTCGTGGGTGTGAGCACGCTGACCCTCCTGGCAAGCCGGAAAGACAGGGAGGCGACAGTGACCATTATGGCCACCCCAGCTGCCAGAGGGGAGCGAGAGTGACTCGCTCGTGGTCCAACACCTTTGGAAAACCCAGCTTCCAGACCTCCTGATGCTGTGGAGACCTCTGCCTCATCTCTCCGCCAGGACCCACCACTACTGAAGCAAGTGCTCTGACCCCTGGGTACAAAGGATGCCAGTCACCTGTGTCCTTCTCCAAGGGACCACGCCACTCTGGACCTGGAGGGGGGAGGTGCGTAGGAATGAGGGGGAGGGGAAGCTTTCCCTTTCATTAAAAACTATTTTTCATGTTAACAGTTGGCTTTTACTGCTTAGGTTCCACAAATAACAGGGCTCTGTGGCCACGCTGTGGAATGTTAGGGGCACACTGGAAATAGCTCATTTCAAATAGGAAAATGGTTTGTGTTCACCCAGTTCTGGAAGCCAATTTTCAATTGCTTAAAATAGTCATGGTATTTTACCAAGGTAATTACACTCTTAGCTATCAGTAACAATTAAGCCCTTAGACTGGAGCCGCTTAATAAGGTCTCAAAATAAAAGCGCACAACCCAAGCGCTGGGCATGAAACGTCAAGCACACCGACAGGCTCCATGGGGCCCAGGCGCCGTGAGCCCCACCGCGGCTTGGCCGGACAGCAGCGCCGGCGGGGGCTCCGCATGTGCCATCGCCCAGGGAGACGGCCAGGGCCCCTCCCCGGGAAGGACAGGGAAGGCCAGCACCCAAAGCATCCTGGAGGCCTGACGACCCCCGTGGGTGCCCTGAAGAGGAAGGCAGGATGGTGGCAAACGCACACTTGGCACCGACCGCGACACAGCCACCGCCACCTCTCCGCAGACTCTCTTGAGGAGCAGCTTCGTTGCACCGGCTGGCCAGGGGGTCCCCGCGGCCAGGCCCCGGGCTGTGCGGGTGGCAGGCATCGACCCTCCTACACACGCCTTTGAGCAATAGCCAGGATAAACAGCCTGGCAGTGCCCGGCTCACAGCACCACCCGGCTCACAGCACCACCCCGAGCACGCAGGGCGAGGTGAGGACAGGAACGCGACGGAAAGCGCCGTCCACTTCCCGCCTGCTGGGCCAGAGGAGAGAAGGGGGGACACGTCTTGCCTTGGCAGCCCAGGACGAAGGAAGTAGGCAACACCCCACGGACGTGAAGGTCACAGGCTGCACAGGGGGGGGGTCACCCCGAGCACCTCCAGCTGTGTGGGGTTCTTAAGCAAGTGCAGGTCTGAACGTCCATGTCATCTTGATCTGACGACGTCTTGGTGACGTGAGGAGGGGTCAGAGCCGACAGCGGCAGCCAGGCCAGACCACGGAAAGATGCCGAGACCAGCACAGCCCGCGGGGGGACCACGTGCACACTCACGAAGCGCCCGCGAGGTCCTGGCCTGCTGATGGTCAAGGGCCCAACCTCCCCGGATGCTTATTCCTAACGATGAACTGAAACTCCATGTAACACTGGCTTTTCTGAGTACGCACTTCAATAAAACTAAATTACTGCCACCTCCAAAACATAAAAAAAAGGAATATTTTGTTTGGCCCACAAGGTGACTTAGAAATGGGACCACTTCCTATGAATGTCCAAACTGCTGGCTTCTCTCCTAAACTCAGAAAAGTACTTCAGGCCACGGCAGCGGGGCCTCAGGGGGCTCCTCCTTTTCGGTGGGACACGTCCTCCAACCCGCCCAGGGCCCCGGCAGGAGGCCCGCCGCCCGCACTCACGCTGCTGGCCCGGCTTTCACAGCGTCTGTGCTTTCAAACCTCGGCGTCCACACCATTGCCTACTCTTGACCACACCTGTGGCGGGCCCATAACGTGACTTCAAAGGGACTTCTGCAGATGAAATTAAGGTTGGGGACTCTGAAGTAAGATTGTGCTGGGCGGTGTGGGTGGGCCATTCGAATTCCTCTCAGCAGCACAGCCAGACGGGGTGGCAGAGAGAAGTCAGAGCGATGTGAGGCCTGTGCAGGCGGGAGACGACATGGGGGATGCCAGAGGCGGGGACAGCGGCAGGGACCGCGCCCCGGCCTGAGAGCCCCCGGACGAGCGCGCAGCACGGGCGCCAAGAACTGAGCGGCAGCGGCCCGGCCACCCCGTGCGTGCGTGGTACCACCGCCGCACAGCACAGGACATGGGCCCGCAGGTATCCCGGACCCACACACAGGCTCCCGCGGCCGCCACCTGGCTCACCGCCACACTCCGGTGCTCTCGCCCACACGGAACCGGGCGCCCCTGCTCGGAGCAGCTCTGTGCGTTAAGAGCGTAGCCTGGAAACGACGCGGATGCCTCCAGCCGGTGCGGGCTGGACCGGCCGTGCCGCATCGGTCCGAACGCTGCTCAGCAAGAGGAGGGCCCACCGCGGACTGCGTGGCCCAGGCGCCAGGGGTCCTGCTGAGTGGGAGGGCCACGCTCCAAGAGCCACGTCCTGACGATTCCACATACGTGACATTCTTGAAACAGGTTTCAGGAGCAGCACACGGGTCAGTGGCTGCGGTGGGCAGTGACTCCGAGTGCCCTGGGGAGAGCACTCTGCACCCTGACGGCGGCGGGGGTCACGCGAACCTTCGCGTGTGACATGGCAGATAGCCACGTGCACCACTGAGGAAACTGAATGAGGGTACGAGGGGCCCCTGTATGCTGCCTTTGCAACTTCCTGTGACCTATAACTACTTCAAACAGAAATCAAAACTGACCCTCACTTGGGTTTGTGTCCTCACACTGCTCTACATGGAGCAGCCAGGCACACTGCAGTGGGCGCTGGGACAGGCTGGGACAGGCTGGCACTGCTGAGGGGGAAGGGGGAACAACGCCTGTGCAGGGGACACCAGTGTGCAGTCAGGTGTGTTGGCTACACACAAGAGAGCACGCACCCCCACTTCTTAGGTGTGGCCTGCACGGTGACGTCCTTCCAAGCAGCGGGACTGCTGGACCCACAGCAGCTCCACATGCACCTCTGGAGGGGCGTCCGCCCTGCCCGCTTCTCTTGCGGTTTTCACGGGGCCTCACAAGCACCGTCTGAACGGGAGTCCATCAGGCTCGTGCACTGCGCAGCTCCGGCACGGGCGCAGCAGCACATTCAGACGGGGCCCCGGACAGACCGGGCAACTTTTCTGAGTCACACGGAAACGGCCTCCTATCGTCGTCCTGGGAAAGCTCCAGGCTTCCCACGTCAGGACCACAGCACACCCTTCGTCTCTCACCCACGGGACGTCAAGTCCACACGTCCCACCACCAGGTGCACGCAGCCTCGCCCCCTTGGACCCCCGGCTCTGAGCACCTCCATCTGTCAGCTGCGGACGTCCTCAGAGGCCAGCACCCCAGCGTGTTCTTCAACTGTCTGCGAGCTGGGTCCTCAGGGACAGCCTGCTGAGCTGAAAGCACCACACTCTGTCCGTCCCCACGTGTCTGGTCTGACACCCTCAGCACCGTCAGCACGTTCCGGCCCAACCCCTAGTTGTGGCTCGCCCAGCAAGACCGAGGTCTCCACGTACTTTTCATAAACAGTGAACCCGCAGGTCTCAGCTTAACCCTCAGCTCCCCCAAAGGTCACTTCCGTGTAACAAGCACTCTGTGCGCTGTCATGGTTGGCGACCACGTGAGTGTTTACCTCTCCTGCCCACCTGACCCACGAACTGTAAATTCTACCTGGGCCATGAGACGTCTGCAGCACGGGCACCTCACGACAAGCTGACACAGGAGACCCACAACGAATGTGGGGGAGAAGGGAAGCAGCAATGAGGGCCACGTAAGCGACCACAGCTGACTGGGTCCAGGGCTGTGCCCCTTCTGTGCCCAGACGCAGCGAGAGGCAGGTGCCCTGTGGGGCCACCTACCAAGACAAGACTTCAGAGGCAGCGTCTGTGGCCTGTGTGGAGCGGGAGGCCCCAGACCAGGGCCCAAGTGACACCACAGCACATGTGAGGTCCCTTTAAGGATGACGTGGCATGGCAGGGAACATTCTGGAAGAGCTGCAGAACAGCCAGTTTGAGTAACTGAAACCTGACTCTTTCTAAGAGATCCATGGTCGGGAGATCCCAGCAGCAAAGTGCCTAGATTTTCATCAAAATGATCAAGAGCAATAAACCCTTGTCAGACAGCACCGATGCCCACTGTCAGCCTGGGGCAGGTGGGAGGCCTCTGCCCAGAAAGCTGGACGCCCACCTCTGCCCAGGGAGCATCTGGGGACAGACGTGGCCTTTTTCCTTCCTCATCTTCTGAAATTTCAGCATTCAAGGCAGCATTTTAAATAATATTCTCTCACACAAAAATATGAATTCACGCTCCAGCAAACTCTGCTATCAAGCCAGACATCAGAAGCTTTTCGGGCCCAGAACAATTAGAGAGAAGCGGCCCACAGACCAGGCTGGAACAAGGACGTGTCCGCCCAGCGCATCTGGACACAGGCGATGTGACGTTTTCGTTCCAAACCCCAATTGCACACCCACTGCAATTCACCTGCACTCACTGGGCGCTGAAGGAAGGACAGGGGCCTAAAGGGAGGGAGCTGTCCCCCACCGGGAGAGGCCTGGGGGTTCAGGGCCGACCTGCTGCGTGCCCCGGGAGGTGGGGCCCGGGCCGCACAGGGCCAGCGGGGTGGGAGAAGTCTAGGTGCCGGCCAGAACCGTCCCGGCAACTAGAACACACAGCCCCGCTAACCGCCAGGACCCCACTTCCAGAGCAGGGGGCGCACCCGAATTGGAGCCGTGGCTCGCGTCTAACTGAACGAAGGCAAGGACCAGCCACCGGAGGAAAGGTGTGCGTGGAAGGGCGGGGGTCCCAGCCGACGACGTGGGTGCCTGCACAGAGGAGACCAGGGAAGGACGTGCGGGCCAGGGCGAAGCGGGCGTGCGCCTACCTTCGTCAGCAGCAGGACGCGCTTCTGCAGCCTCCGGGCCAGGGCCTCGTGTGTCTCACGCTTCTTCCTCTCCTCCAGCAGCTGGGCGCTGACCTGGCGCACCTCCTCCTGGAGCTGCTGCCTCACCTTGTCCAGCTCCCGGGCACTGCACAGAAAAGGCGACAGGGCAGAGCGTGAGGCCTGGCCCACAGCACCACACCCCAGCAAGGGGCCCACCAGGACAGGAGGCGCTGACGCGCAGGTCCCAAAATAGAGCCGCACGTGCAGCCAGCCCGCTGTCATTTCCTCACTTCTGAATAGCTACTCAGAGCCTTTCAGGAGTCTCTGCGTTCCCACCAGACCCCGGGCGAGCCCGCGCTGCTGGCAGCGGGGGAGGCGGCCCCGCACACACGGGAAGCCGTCGCCAACGCGACTGCGGAGCCACGTCTGAATGGTGCGATTATGCCCGCGTCCCTGAGTCAGTCGCGCAGGTGTGCAGTGCGCTGGGTGGGGGGCTGGGGGGACCCAGCCTGGCTTGGCCCGCTCTGCTAACACCCTGCGAAGCTGGAGCCCAGATACAGCCCGGACACCAACGCCGGGCCCCGCAGGCTCCTCCAGGGGGCCAGCCCCTGGCTGGCTGACTGAGCCTCTGTCAGTTGACCTCCCACCACCTCTCCGGCTCAGGCGCCTGCGTTAATGCGACAGCCTCCCACTCAGGACATCCCTTCAGAGACCGGCTAAAGGAGGACATTTGATGTAGAGGCCTCCCCGCTCCTGACCCCCCACGGCGAACCCCCTACCGCTTGGCATGGCAGTGAAGCACCTTCAGAGTTTGGTCTCTGACTCTCCCCACCAAAATCCCATCGGCCCTTTGCATGCCCGCTCATTCCTACAGTCTTCCAGGGCCGGCCCAGGAGCCACGGGGAATGGCAGCCAGTGGGAGAATCGAGGGCCCCGTGACTCTGCGTGCGCACAGTGCTGCCTCCCCACATGGCGACGCTGACTGGGGGGCTCCCAGGAGGGGCCTCGCAGACAGGGGCTGGGGCGGGGGACACCTGGGGAGGAGCTGACTCTGCAGGGTACGTGTGGGTAAAACACCCTTCACGCTATTTCTTTAAGTAGAGAAAACCTCTTCCCGAAGGAAAATTTTAAAACCTCAAGAGAATAAAACAGAAACAGAACATTATTAGGAGTACGTTACAAGGTGACATTTGTAGCGTTTATCCAAGGTGATGGTCCACGAGGACAATGACAGCGCTGTGAGGTGAGGGCCATGGATGACACCTGCAGTCTCGTGTCATACCTGGCATCCAATTATTTCTGTTTTGCTTTGATTACATGATTTCAAGAGAAACCTAATTCACAAGGATGGCACGCAATGCTTTCTGTGGAGGTGGTCTCCACTAGGCTGGCTTTTTTCTATTTCACATCTGAGTGACTGTAAGGAGTTTTTATTATTATTTAATATAATTCTTTAAGCAGCTCACTTTAATTTTCAAGTAAATGGGAATCACACACGCACAGAAGTTCAGAAGCAATGGAGTGAAGAGCCCCAGGTCTGGGCCACCCCAGCACAGGCCTCGGGGTCTCATGGGAATGGAACCAGTGTCTCACCCCCAGGGCCCAGCATTTCATTTCAATTCAGCCACCTCGGAAAGTCTCACATTAATATTTAATACAAAAGCACAGCTGGCCAACCGCACCTGCCACCCTTAGGTGCTTCATAACCAAAAACATAAAATAAAATGAAAAACAAGTACAAATATTCATTTGAAACAGACACATTAAGAGGCTATTTTGAGTTCTACTTCAATTTAAAACAATCGTAGACCAATTTAATAATCAAGGACTGTGAAACCGACCCGGAATCACTGAATTCAGGCAGGGCTCGTGCGCTTTAAGCTACTGCCCACTGTGGGCGACCGCACGGAACGGCACCTCCTCCTGTACGTGCGAGCGAAGGCAAGAAGGTGGCCGACGCTGTCTTTCAGATGACGGGCACGGCACCATGCCTGGCGGAGCTCAGGGGCCGCTCTAAGCCCAAGGACTTTGGGGACAACCTGGGGGAGGGGAGACTGGCAAACCCCAAGCCCCACAGTCTGCGGAGCATGATGCTCTCAAATCCACATGGGCGTCAAACCGGAGACCCCCCCAACCAAGAGCAGGTGCAAGTTTGTGCACAGCCACAGGGTAAGTGCCCACCTGCAGAGCTGGAGAGCCCACACTCCTGGTGCCGGGCCCGGGCGCAGGACACCTGCACCCTCGTCTGCTGGCCGCCAGCTCCCTATACAGGCCCCGAAACGGAGTGGGTCTCAGCTTCTCAGGGAGGGGGAGCCAGGCACTGAGATGGGTGACCTGAGCCGCCAGCCCAGTCCTACAAAGTCACCAGAGCAAATCTGCCCGCTGCAGGACACAGCACCAATGACAGTCCAGTGGCACCACAGGAAGACGGCCAAGCCTTTCGACACTCTGGGGCTGTGCCCAGCTTGGCAGAGCCCCTGTGCCCAGGCAGAGAGAAAACCGCCTGCCCCAATGGTCATGTGCTCTTCATGGAATGGGGATGTGAAGGAACAATGCCAGAGGACAAGGACCCTGCAGACCCCAGACCCAGGAGGGCCAGCGCTGTGAGGGCGGCCCGCCGCAGCCCGGCCCGAGCACCGCGGCCCCGCGTCACCCCGTGTCCCCAAGGCCTGCCACGAGGCCTGATCATTTCATCACTACCAGACTTCTTAAAAGATGGAGCAAGACTTAAAATGCACCTTCAGCACATTATAGGAGACGCTGCCACAGAACTCTCTCCAGAGCCTCGTCACCAGCAGGCACTGAGGTCCGCTCGTCCATCGTCCGCGCACCGTGGCGCACACGCCGAGTCTCAGCGGCACACGTCTCCAGGCCCTGGGGAGACGGCTGGGATCTGATGCCCCAAAGGCCTGAGCTCATGGGACCCGCGTTCTAGCAGGGCACGTACCTCGGGGAAAGAAACTACCGTGTCATGTGAACAGAGAATTAACGTGAAGCGCCGTCAGCTAGGTGACAGCCAGAGCCAGGTGACTGGACGGAGGAGAACCCTGAGACGCCAAGCAGGCAGCAGTGCCAGGGAGGAGCCACGAAGCCTGGGACCCCAGAGGCTGATCACTGAATCCAGAAACGCAGCTGCGGGAGTGACAAGTGCCGCTCAGGCACCACTCCGCCCTCTGCCCTGCAGCCTCTGCACAGAGCCCCTGGACGCCCCCTGGATGCCGCCGCAGGGCACCAGCTGGAGAGCAGGGCATGGGAAAGGGAGACTGCGGCCGGGCGCAGAGGGACAGGGCCGAGAAGCAGCAGGTAATCAAAGGTGCGCTTGACCCCGTGAGAGGTGTCGAGGGAGGCCCCCGTGGCGAGGACTCGGGCTACCTCAGGTCCTCTCGAGGAGGGCTGTGCCTGAGAAGACAGCAGGGCACGTGCATCTGCTCACTTGGGCCAGCTACCCGCAGAGGCAGCTGCGCCTTGGGGCAGGAAGCCAGCCAGAAGGGGCAAGGAGGGCTCAGGCGGAGCAGAGGAAGGGGGGGTGCAGGGCCTGGTGCGGGGGGTGGGGGGCAGCAAGAGACGGCGGGAAGAGCTGAGACAAAGTGCAGGGGACCTGCTCAGGCGCTCCCTGGCTGAAAGGAGAGGAACCGGCCGGCAGCCGGGAAGGACAAGCGGTGAGGGATCCGACCCGCGTTCACGAACTCTACGGGAAGCAGAGTCCTAGCAGGGGGCTGTGGAGGGGGCACCCCGACCACGCTGGAGAGAAGGGGCACGGCGGCACGCACAGAGGGGTGGCCTGCGCAGAGGCAGTTTTCTGAGGGTCCCAGGAATCCAGCCCGGAGTGCTCCAATTAGCTTTCCAAACACCTGCTGACATATGCCCCCCGCCCTGGCGTGCCGAGGGGCAGGGCTGCGCCTGGACCAGAAGGGACGGGTACGGCTCTGCCTGCAGACCCTGGAGTGAGTCCCCGACAGCACGCAGCACGTGGACGCCCACACCCAACGCGACGCGTCTGTTGGGATTTTCACCCCGTTCAAGCTCAGCCTTTCTGACAAAGAAAACTCATAAAAAATTAAACCTGTAGTTCCATACTTAGGCTGACCTCTGAGGTCACTGGCATTTCCGGGAACCTTTGGAAGTTCAAAATGGAGCTCTTCGTTCTTAGAAGACGGTTGGCATGTTTATCGATCAGTGCCTCGAGGATCCATCTCTGTACTGTGACGGGCCACTGCAGCCACTTTAATGTAATCTTCATCAGAAAACTCCCAGCCCAAGAATATCCACTTTCAAGGGACAATGAAAGGACACAGCACGCTGAAGCAGCAGGAGACGTTTTAATGACCTTCGCTGAGGTGCAGCTGACGCTGGCTCTGCCCTCGCGCAGCCCGCGCAGTCCCACTGTCCGTTTGCCCACCGTCCCCCCGGTGCAGCCCACCACCCCAGCAGTGCGACGGGTGCCCAGGATGGGCGTCGCTGCCAGTGGCCGTCACACTTGCCCTGTGGTGCAGACAGCCTGAAGGCCTGGGACAGGGTGGTGCAGGCCAGCCCGGGAAGGACAGTCGGCCTCTCTGGAGCACAGGCTCGTGCTCCACACGAAGCCACGTCAGCACGTCACCACGGAGCGCACGCGCACACTGGCGGCCGCGGCCAGACGCAAACCCAGAGCAAGAACAACTGGGAGCTGAGCAAACCTCCTAACCGGGAACACGCGGATGGGACATTCACACACAGGCACGGGGCTGTGCGGGCAGCTTCCCCTCTGACGAGGCCCCCGGGGCTTAGCCTGAGGCGAGCTGGGCAACACAAGTGAACCCCGGGGCCTCCAGCGGACGAAGACAGTGGCTGCACGTGCAGAGATGCTTAGTGACGATGCTTCCGTGTGGGACTCGGAGAACTCCACTGGGAAAATTAATAAAATTTAATTCACACTTCTGCAAACCCCTAAGGCATCTTTATTCTTAGGCTCTGACGAACACAGATCAAAACCCACTAATGCACATGACTTGTAAGCTTCTCTATTTTATAGGTAAGTAAATTCAGGTCTCAAGTGACTAAGTCACTCACACAAGGCCACTCTGCCCCA